GCTTATAATAACAATTATAGTTTATTAGATTACTTCAATGACTATATTGCTTAATCTTTGTCAATGTTATTACTAATTTTTAGATGTAAATCATCTGATATAAAGGTAGCCATTCCTAACATGTCTCTACAGAATCATATTGAGAAACGATACAATGACATTATTAAGTCACCGAATGATAAAAGAGAATATAGAGGTCTATTGCTTACCAATAAGATGAAAATTCTACTTATTAGTGATCCTACAACTGACAAAGATGCTGTAGCCTTGAATGTGAACATTGGTAAAATGATATATATGTACATAATTAAATTTAAACTTTTTGAACAAGGCAAAATATAACTACTCCTTTATAGTAATGTATATTGTTTTTAATATCATTTATTTTTGTAGGATATTTAAGTGATCCACCTGATTTACCAGGTTTAGCACATTTTTGTGAACACATGCTATTCTTAGGCACAGAAAAATATCCAGAACAAAATGATTATAGTAAATATATAACACAAAATGGTGGTAGATATAATGGAACAACCAGTATGGATCATACCCTTTATTATTTTGATGTTCGTTCAGGAAAATTGAAAGGTGCATTAGATCGTTTTGCACAGTTTTTTATTGCACCACTCTTTACAGAAACTTTAACTGAATTAGAGCTGAATGCTATTCATTCAGAATATGAAAAAAATGTAAATAATGATATATGTCGTATTGATCAATTGGAAAAATCATCTGCTGATCCAAACCATCCTTTTTCAAAATTTACTAGTGGAAATAAAGAAACATTAGATATAATTCCAAAACAAAATAACATAAATGTAAGGGAAAGGTTACTTCAATTTCATAAGGATTTTTATTCTTCCAACATCATGTCATTATGTGTACTTGGTAAAGGTATGTACAATGTTTTATTTGCTTAGTTTTGGAAAAGTATTTAAATAAAGTTGTAAATTAATTAAAATTAAATTTATATTAAAGATTTAAAGAAAATGTTAATTAT